TACAAGTACTTCTACTCTCGCTAGCGAAGAAGTAGATATTATCTCACGTTTTTTCTTCTCTAGGTAAGCTGGTGAGAGTCACATCTTTGTTATTTCGTTTCTATAAAAAATGTAAGAAAGTTCAAACTGCTTTTCCCAGGCATATTACTGTGTCTGAATATAATTTTTCCTTAAATCGACTTGTCCTTATTGTCCAACATTCCGTTTTCCGTGATGACATTTCTAACCTATCAAAAGGAAAACTTCCATCGAACCAACTACGACGTTTAAGGCCTTTTATCGATTCCAATAATTTCCTACGTGTAGGCGGGAGAATTCATAAGTCGCTTTTACCCTTTGATTCGAAACACCAATTAGTTTTGCCAAAGAAACATCCTTTAACGGTTTTAATTATCGATAACACTCACATATCTCATTTACATGCAGGCGCGCAAACCACCCAGTATTTGCTTCTACAAAAGTATTGGATCTTATCAGGGCGTGACGTTATACGGCAACGCATACACCGATGCGTACGGTGCTTTCGGGCGCGTCCCGTGCGTCCGCAACCAAGCATGGGTCCGCTGCCCGCCGCGCGTTTACAACCCGAACGCCCATTCCTTAAGACTGCCGTAGATTTTGCAGGTCCGTTCTACGTCCGAGCAAATAAAGTACGAAATGCAAAGGTCATAAAATGTTACGTTTCCGTTTTCGTATGCATGTGCGTTAAGGCTATACATCTCGAAACAGTTTCGGAACTTTCAACAGAGGGTTTCTTAGCGGCATTACGACGCTTTACGTCTCGCCGAGGTCTATGCACAGACATATATTCTGATTGTGGTAAAAATTTTATCGGATGTGACAGGTACCTTAAGGACTTACCTATATATTTCTTACGAAATGATACTACACAACTCACGTTACAAAACAAGGTTCTTGAGGAAGGAATAACATGGCATTTTCAACCACCATATGCTAGTCATTTCGGTGGACTTTTTGAAGCTGGCGTCAAAAGTTTCAAACATCACTTTCATCGGGTAGTAGGTTCTCGTACATTAACCTATGACGAGATGCATACTCTTTTATGTCAAATAGAGGCAGTATTAAATTCGCGACCCCTTTGCGTGTTAAGCGCCGACGCGCAGGATCCTCTGCCCTTAACTCCGGCCCATTTTTAATAGGCGGACCATTAACGGCCATCCCGGACGTTTCACTCGTTGACGATAATCCAAGCAGATTAGTCCGGTGGCGTTTAATTCAACAACACGTCCAACATTTTTGGAAAAAAAATGGAGTTTAGAATATTTACATGAAATACAACAACGCAGTAAGTGGTTCACTAATCGTGGAAATCCGATTCGTGAAGGCATGATTGTAGTAATATGCGACGATAATCTCCCTCCTCTACAATGGAGACTCGCACGTGTGCACTGCCTTCATCCGGGCTCCGATGGCGTAACCCGTGTTGTAACACTCCAAGTGGGTAAAACCCTTTTAAAACTCAAAAAATTTGTCCTCTACCCATTGAATAAATTTTTATATCGTTTTAATTTTAATTTTAATATTAGTAACTTATGGTATCTTAACAATATAATATATATACAATATTATAGTCTCTAACATAACATTTTTAATAACTTTTTTTTTATTTCCCTTCCACAAAAGATTTTTTAAAAGTTACGTATGTACTTTTAAGGTGAGCGGCATGTTGCGTACAGAGTATATTACTCAATATTTAAATATTGTTTTTTTTTTCTTCTTACGTTTAGGAATCTAAAAACAGCACAATTTGGAAGTCAAAAATTTTCATAATATTCACTTAACCCTTCTTTTTTTTTTCTTACTGGCAAGCACTCAAAATTTGAATTCAAAGTCCGTTTTTGCAACGACCTTTTGACCAATTGACCACTCACTTACGTTCTAACGCTGAACAAGATTACGTGCGCAATCGGCTAACGTTAATACGTTTTGTCCAACCCCATATCTTTTTTCCCTTGCTCCAAACTCAATACTAAGACAGTTCCTCTACCGAACCTGTGGATAAAAAGGAAGTCGTGGACGTATCAGGCCAGAAGATTATCCACACCGGGCCCGGATCGACTACGGCAACTGAGGACAGTCCAGGTCAGTGCTTGCCAGCCTTTATATTTTTTAACATAAAATTTGGTCCTTCGAGCCGGATCCTTACTTCCAGATCGTGCTGTCTTAGTATTTATTATTCCATTTATCACATTTTTTAATTTCGTACCTACGTACTTTTCACCTACGTGTCGGATAGGTCATCTTTGTTACACAAAATGCCGAACCCATCAGTAGATGAACAACTCATGTGTGATGTTTCATGCGAGCAAGATATGTTCGAACGTGATATTATATTTAGATGATTTAAAAAGAACTTTACAGTTCGCAACGACAGATGAGCAAAAATTCCGTTCGCGAACAAAAGACCTTAATCATCAAAGAAAGTTTAGTAAATTGCAAACAAAAATCGAAAAATGTCTAATGAAAACAAAAACTGTTCAACAAAGAAGAACAAATAAAAATTCGTAACGATTTGATGACGCGTACTATGCTATCGTAACTCATTTAAGTAAACTAAAGCAGGATGATGAGCAAGGCAGACGAATGAGTAGGTCATTTAATTGTGAATCGCTCTCACAATCCCATAATGCAAAGTTACCAAAAATTCCTTTACCCACTTTTTCGGGCAACAGTACTGACTGGAATTCATTTTATGATTTGTATATTTCACTTGTACATAACAATAATGCCTACACGGATGCGGAAAAGTTTAGATATTTATTGCTTACGTTAAAAAATGAACCATATAATTTGATTAAATCTATTCCCACTACCGACGCAAATTATCCTATAGCCTTACAAATATTAGTTTCTCGTTATGAAAACATAAGAGTTATAGCTTCCACTCATCTTGACAAAATCCTCGATGTCGAATCATGTTCCGAGAAATCAACAGTTAGTTTACGCAACTTATTAAACACCTATCAAGAAAACATAAAAGCACTTGAAGCTTTAGTTTCCCACTAAAGAATGGAGTTTTATTTTGTTAACGATTTTACTACGCAAAATCCCGTCATCTATTCGCAAACGTTTCGAATTGTCATTAAAATCACCATCGGAAATTCCCGATATCGACACATTTATTTCCTTTTTAGAACGCGAACTGTCCGCAAGCGAAATATCCAATCCGAATTTCGGTCATATTATATCGAAACAGGAGGGTCACTTAAAACCAAGCGCAGCAATACGTAACAGCGGCAGCAACACAACAACAGCATCGGGCTCGCGGCGCGCATTTGTGACCAATATTACTCCACAGGTTGTATCAGAGTCTGCATACAATCAGAATCAAACTAAAACGGTTAAATATTTTCAATGCATATGCTGTGACGCTAAACACACGTTAACAAAATGTCCAAAGTTTTTGAATTTTTCTCCAAACGAACGGTATACGTTTATCACTGGTAAAACATCTGCATTAATTGTTTACACGTAGGACACGATGTTAAACAATGTAAATCTAGTTTTGTGTGCCGTGCGTGCGATAAACGTCATCATACACTGATTCACATCGATAATCAATCCTATGTGGGTGCGACTGAGGCGACGTCTCCGCAAAAACGATTGCTCAGTCTCTTTTGCTCCTACAGCGTGCGCCCCCGCCACTTTAAGCGACACTCCGCTCGTTATGACGTCGATCAATCACAAAAACTTGCGACGCAGGCGCGCTGTCTCATTCTGCCCCATCCGTACGAACGAGTACAGTGTTATTGTCAACAGCGCTCGTCGATGTTCACGTAAATAATCAAAGACGGTCGACTGTACGTTGTCTTATAGATTCGGGGAGTCAGGTTTCCTTTATCAGTGAATCGTGCGCACAACGTTTGGGGTTAATAAGAAAATATGTAAATTTTCCCCCCGTTTACGGGATTAATGAAAAGAGACCTGTTTACCCCAAGGGCTTAGTTTCGTGTTGTATTACGCCAAAAAATAAAATATTACCCTTTGTTCAAATTAACGCTTTAATCTTACCGAAACTCATTACAACTCAAATGCCCACATGTCAATTACCTTGTACAGAGTGGTCACACATTAAAAATTTAAATTTAGCAGATCCCGATTTCCATACGCCACAACCAGTGGAAATGTTACTAGGAGCAGACATACTTCACGAAATTCTATTACATAACACGATTATCGGTACACCCGGGTCGCCAATAGCAATGAATAGCATTTTTGGATATCTTCTCTTGGGCAAAATCGATTTTAATTCGTCATTTTCAATTTCACTTCCGGTTCAGGTGTGTCATAGCTCAGTTGACGACAACTTTGACCTCCAACGCTTCTGGGAATTAGAATCGATTTCGGAACAGAGGGCTCTAACTGCTGATGAACTTTTATGTGAATCAATTTTCCAAAATACACATACGCGTGATGAGACAGGGCGATATGTAGTAGCCTTGCCTTTCAAACCCGACGCACCGCCTCTTGGCGAGTCCCGTGACATTGCGCTTTCTAGATTTCGTAGGTTAGAACAAAAACTCGAACGTAATGCGCAGTTGAAGGAAAGTTATCATGCGGGCCTCCAAGAATACTTGGAACTGGGCCACATGGAACCTTGTGATGGTCTTACTCCTGCCTCAGGTACCTATTATATTCCGCATCATTGCGTGGTGAAAGAATCCAGTGAGACAACGAAAACTAGAATAGTCTATGATGCAGGATGTAAGACTACGAATGGAAATTCATTAAATGATATTTTGTTTACTGGACCTAAGCTTCATCTGGATATAGTTGATGTTTTATTAAAGTTTCGCACTCACTCCATTGCGTTCACAGCTGATATCAAACAAATGTATCGCAATATTTTAGTTCGGGACTCAGATAAAGATTTTCAGCGCATTGTGTGGCGTACTTCTCCAGAAGAACCCATACGGGATTATCTCCTTCGCACTGTAACTTTCGGAGTCAGTTCATCGCCCTACCTCGCGCTTCGCACAATGCGACAGTTATCGCTCGATGAGAGCGCTCGCTTCCCTCGCGCTTCTGAAGTGATTCAGAAGGACGTGTTTGTTGACGACATAGTGTCAGGCGATATATCAGAAGATAAGGCCCTCGCTCTGCAACAGGAACTAATTGGCATATGTCAGGCGGCCGGTTTCACGCTTCACAAGTGGCACAGTAACTCGCCAGCCATACTAGCTGCAGTACAGCCCACGAGTTTTCATGGTGAGCGGCACGATAATGTACCATTCGCAGAGATGGAGAACGACATGAAAACCAAAGTTCTCGGTCTTCAGTGGAATCCCAGCTCAGATTCATTTAACTTTTGTGTGAAAATTTCTTCCAATAAATGTACTAAGCGTTCTATTCTTTCTGTAATCGCTAGAATATATGATCCACTTGGGTTTTTATCTCCAGTAACTATTTACGCTAAACACCTGATGCAGTTGCTATGGATAGCATGTGTGAATTGGGATGAAACACCGCCACAACACATAGAAAATTCCTGGAACAGTTTTTACCATAGAGCTGCCACTCTTATCCCAAGTTATTTTTCCGCGTCATGTGTTTTCTCATACTTCCACCGTACAACTTCACGGTTTTTCGGATGCTTCTGAGAAAGCGTATGCAGCTTGCGTCTATCTCCGCGTACAAGGGGAAAACGGCATGGTAGACACTCACTTACTCCTAGCCAAAACACGTGTGGCACCTACTAAACGTGTATCAATTCCTCGTCTAGAACTCATGGCAGCACTACTGCTATCGAGGCTGCTAAAAACAGTTTTAAATATCTATGGCAGTCACGTAAGCCGGGATAAGGTCTATGCGTGGTCGGATTCATCTGTAGTTTTGGCGTGGCTGCATTCTTCTCCACACGAGTGGAAAACTTTCGTCTCCAATCGGATAACTGAAATCATAAACAATGTTCCGTATTGTCATTGGCGTCATGTTCCATCTGCATATAATCCAGCGGACGGGGCTTCACGCGGTATGCTTCCTGCCAATTTTCTACAACACGATATTTGGTTTCGTGGACCTCGTTTTTTACAAGAAAATGAGGTTTTCTGGCCCACTACCAAGGCGTCATACAATACCCAAGAAGAAAGACGCAACATTGCGATTATATCGAACCCATGTACAAGTACTTCTACTCTCGCTAGCGAAGAAGTAGATATTATCTCACGTTTTTCTTCTCTAGGTAAGCTGGTGAGAGTCACATCTTTGTTATTTCGTTTCTATAAAAAATGTAAGAAAGTTCAAACTGCTTTTCCCAGGCATATTACTGTGTCTGAATATAATTTTTCCTTAAATCGACTTGTCCTTATTGTCCAATATTCCGTTTTCCGTGATGACATTTCTAACCTATCAAAAGGAAAACTTCCATCGAACCAACTACGACGTTTAAGGCCTTTTATCGATTCCAATAATTTCCTTCGTGTAGGCGGGAGAATTCATAAGTCGCTTTTACCCTTTGATTCGAAACACCAATTAGTTTTGCCAAAGAAACATCCTTTAACGGTTTTAATTATCGATAACACTCACATATCTCATTTACATGCAGGCGCGCAAACCACCCAGTATTTGCTTCTACAAAAGTATTGGATCTTATCAGGGCGTGACGTTATACGGCAACGCATACACCGATGCGTACGGTGCTTTCGGGCGCGTCCCGTGCGTCCGCAACCAAGCATGGGTCCGCTGCCCGCCGCGCGTTTACAACCCGAACGCCCATTCCTTAAGACTGCCGTAGATTTTGCAGGTCCGTTCTACGTCCGAGCAAATAAAGTACGAAATGCAAAGGTCATAAAATGTTACGTTTCCGTTTTCGTATGCATGTGCGTTAAGGCTATACATCTCGAAACAGTTTCGGAACTTTCAACAGAGGGTTTCTTAGCGGCATTACGACGCTTTACGTCTCGCCGAGGTCTATGCACAGACATATATTCTGATTGTGGTAAAAATTTTATCGGATGTGACGGATACCTTAAGGACTTGTATACTTTCTTACGAAATGATACTACACAACTCACGTTACAAAACAAGGTTCTTGAGGAAGGAATAACATGGCATTTTCAACCACCATATGCTAGTCATTTCGGTGGACTTTTTGAAGCTGGCGTCAAAAGTTTCAAACATCACTTTCATCGGGTAGTAGGTTCTCGTACATTAACCTATGACGAGATGCATACTCTTTTATGTCAAATAGAGGCAGTATTAAATTCGCGACCCCTTTGCGTGTTAAGCGCCGACGCGCAGGATCCTCTGCCCTTAACTCCGGCCCATTTTTAATAGGCGGACCATTAACGGCCATCCCGGACGTTTCACTCGTTGACGATAATCCAAGCAGATTAGTCCGGTGGCGTTTAATTCAACAACACGTCCAACATTTTTGGAAAAAATGGAGTTTAGAATATTTACATGAAATACAACAGCGTAGTAAGTGGTTCACTGATCGTGGAAATCCGATTCGTGAAGGCATGATTGTAGTAATATGCGACGATAATCTCCCTCCTCTACAATGGAGACTCGCACGTGTGCACTGCCTTCATCCAGGCTCCGATGGCGTAACCCGTGTTGTAACACTCCAAGTGGGTAAAACCCTTTTAAAACTCAAAATTTGTCCTCTACCCATTGAATAAATTTTTATATCGTTTTAATTTTAATTTTAATATTAGTAACTTATGGTATCTTAACAATATAATATATATACAATGTTATAGTCTCTAACATAACATTTTTAATAACTTTTTTTTTTATTTCCCTTCCACAAAGGATTTTTTAAAAGTTACGTATGTACTTTTAAGGTGAGCGGCATGTTGCGTACAGAGTATATTACTCAATATTTAAATATTGTTTTTTTTTTTTTCTTCTTACGTTTAGGAATCTAAAAACAGCACAATTTGGAAGGCAAAAATTTCATAATATTCACTTAACCCTTCTCTTTTTTTTTCTTACTGGCAAGCACTCAAAATTTGAATTCAAAGTCCGTTTTTGCAACGACCTTTTGACCAATTGACCACTCACTTACGTTCTAACGCTGAACAAGATTACGTGCGCAATCGGCTAACGTTAATACGTTTTGTCCAACCCCATATCTTTTTCCCTTGCTCCAAACTCAATACTAAGACAGTTCCTCTACCGAACCTGTGGATAAAAAGGAAGTCGTGGACGTATCAGGCCAGAAGATTATCCACACCGGGCCCGGATCGACTACGGCAACTGAGGACAGTCCAGGTCAGTGCTTGCCAGCCTTTATATTTTTTAACATTGATAAACATACTTTTCTTGTTTGTAAATTAGTACATATTATCAATATTTATAATATGTATTAATTTACAAACAAGAAAAGTTCTGGACAAACATCATATTTATTACACAATATTTTTCCAGTAGTGGGGATCGAACCCTCATCCTCTAGCGCAAGAAGCATGTGCATCTTGCGCTAGAGGATACGCCACTACGCCAATCAGGTCGTCAAATATATAAATATACGCTTGATTGGTTCTACACCAGCATCGGTGGTAGAACAACCGAAAAACGAAATTGATTGTGATATAGTAATTTAATTTAAATATTTCGATCTAAATAACAAATATTATATATGCACAAAAATGTTTGAAGGATCTTGTCTTACTTTATTTTATTTTTAATTCAAGTAATTATTCAAGTGTTTTTTCCTATCAAATAGATCTTTAATAGGTAGTGTATTGAATGGAAGCTCTGTATTTAGCAAAATGATTTACTACACGAGTGGCTCAATACAATAATTGGTCAACTCGACCAATGTCATTGCGTGGATTATGATGGTCTCCGGTAAAATTTGTGATATTGAGGTATGAACAGTTGTTTCTTATATAATTAATGTCTTTTGTTTCCGATATTTCATATAACTGCCGAGATACCGTTATTCATTGAAGCTGAAGTAGTTTAAGCAAGCAAATCAATAGTCTTATTGCGAGCTAATGATACCTTAGATGTGAGAAAAGAAATAGTAAACCAAAAGAATAAGAACTAAATATTTTTTTTTAACAACAGAGATTTATTCTCGAGAAGGTATCGAATCTCAGTTAAGACGGATAAAACGTCTTGCAGGGAAAGCCGCTTATAAATCGACCAAATCAGGTCGTTTTATATCTATATTTTCTAAGACTTCAGAAATCCTTTGAAACTATACCTTTCACTTACAGGTATACATGTACATTACGTATACATGTATAGCATGCGGTTAAAATATTATTTTTTAATATTAATTGGGACGTAAAACTGTTGTAAATCGCCCATTTTACATAAAATATAGTGTTTTAATTTATTTTAATAATCATATAACCAAGTCCAATGCCCGCCAAATAATATTGAGTAAGCTGAAAATAGAAAGAGTAAGTCAGTTCCTAGTCTAATTCACACTTTAATTTTAAGTATTAATGTGACTGTTATTTTAAAGTAATGGTGTGAATGTGAAAAAAAAATCATAATTTATAAATTCAGAAGCGGCGCCCGCTGCCCAGTATTTGTTATAAACTTTTCAGTGTAGAATAGTAGGGCTTGTGATCTGTGATATTGATTATTACAATAAAAGGATGACTTAGTGAAAAAGTCAAATGTCATATTACACAAAACGTACAAAAATATGCATTTATTTTTATAATGTAACTTTCAGTATACTGGAAAGTTAAATATCAGAGACAAGTATTCCCATGCATGTAGAAAGGTGTGAAATGTACGTTAATATTAAATAATTTTAAACATTTTGCGGCTGTCCTTCTGATTAAAAACAAAGAATGAGAAGCTGGATTTTTTAAATGAATTTTACATGACATATTATATGAAATTTACATGACATTTTTATGTTCGATTTGATTTGAATTTTACATGTAATTTTTATGTTCAACTAGCTGACTCGGCAAACGTTGTTTTGCCATATAAATTAATTCTAGAGGAATTGGAACGCCAAAGACAAAGTTGACAGATTGATAGGTACAGTTAGTATGGGAAAATAAAATTGTTGCTATTTCGATTTTCCTTAAATTTTTCATCGTTTAAAACTTCCCTCGACTGCCAAAAATATGTCAACACCAAAATTAGCCAAATCGGTCCAGCCGTTCTCGACTTTTAGCGAGACTAACGAACAGAAATCCATTTTTATATATAAGATTTCCGCTCTGGACTAGTACTACAATATATATCCTAGTACCGCTATGTGTTATCCCTTAGTTATTGTTTTTAATCTGGACATTGTTCCCAAAGAGTGTTGAAGTCAGGCATAGATAATTAGTAAAATGATTCACATAATGTGCCTTACCTTTCTCGGCTAAATGAAGGATCTCAAAAAGTCTACTCGAAACAATTTATTATTTAGCGCGAAAATATATTATGTAATTAAAAAAAACTGAATTTTAATAATAAAGGTGTAAAAACTTAGAAACAAGACTTAGAAAACCTCGGCAAGTAATTCAAGTACTTAGGCTACATCGGTATACTATGTAATAAAACTAAATGATATATAACTAAATAATAAAAAAGTGTGGTACAAATACCTACCACACTTTAGAGGATTTGAAAGTGAATTGAAAGTTCTAAGTTCCTTCGTTTAAGATAAAATTTATACATCAATTTTATTATAAAAGAAATTCAACCCTTTTGTTTTTAAATGTTTAATGACGGTCTGCTGTTCACAAAGTTTAAACATTGAATAAAGAAGATCTAACACGAAAACCGCAGTAATTGCAAACAGGAAAAATTCCAAAAATAAACTTTCACGAAATCTTTGTTAGCGAACTCTAAAAATTTCCCGAAAAGAAAAAGGCTGGCTTTGAAAATATATTATATAAAAAGGAATTGTGGACATCTTTTTAACCTAATGGAAATTGCAACTTTTGGCTGTTGATAAAGATAAAATTGATGATGAGAAATTTACTTGACGGTACCGATGTATCATTGTAAGATTTTATTGAAAGGTATCTTGCATACATTTCATTTGGATTTCAATGGAAAAACTATTGCTTCGTTGTTTTGCTCAATACCCATCAAATCTATAATCATGTAGATAACTATCGTTATTGCCGTCTGTTCGTCTAGTTTGCATTGGCAACCCGCTTGGTTGTCGAGTTGAAAACTACGCTGAACAAAATGGTATCTGTAAATGACGAATAGCTATTTGCAGCTGATTCTATCTTTGCTGTCTGCTCTGTGACGAAGGGAAATGAGAATAGGAAGTTCCTTTTCTTCACGAGGCGCGAGTCAACTAATAAGGAATCAACGAATTCCATAATCAAACCCATTATGATGTAGTAAAGAAAATTAAGTAACAGCCTTTATTGCATGTACCGCAGCTCTTCTATAATTGACGCATCGTTCGCTTCGATCCCACTGTGAATTAACAAACTTCACAAACCTGCAAAATATGATATTTTTTTCTTATTACTCATGCAGGTTATTTAGGCAGTTACAACGGCAAACTGTTGCATGGCCCATGCAACAGTTTGCCGTTGCACGATTTGGCAGGTCCTTCCATGAAACCTGCCACGACCTCTCATAGAAGAAGGGCGTAAAATTTTACTGCGTTTCGTCCGACGAGTGAGGTAACCCGAGTCCACTTTATTTAAAAGGTGGCATCATATGGCAAAGCATCAATAACCCTACGGGTTGTAACTCGCACCCCCCCTTTATTGTGTATATATAATTATAACTTATATATTTTATCCCCCATTATACGAATAAATCATATAACATCATTACGTGACCAGGATA